TGTTTGAGAGCACCAGTAATGAGGAAGCTATTGCACAAGCACTAGATATGGCAGAGGGCCGAAGAGAAGCAACACTGATCAGACTTGTAGCGTATCAGCAGCAGCTCATCAAGAGTTTCAACCAAAAAGTTTTCCCAAGGCAATTTACACCAGGAGAACTGGTCTTGAGGAAAGTTATGGATCACAAAAAGGTACCTAGCGAGGGCAAACTTGGGCCTAACTGGGAAGGTCCCTACAAAGTCATAGTTGTCGTTGGAAATGGAGCCTACTATCTAGAGGATCTTAATGGCAGAGCTATACCTCGGCCCTGGAACGTAGCAAATCTCAAGAAATACTATCAATAGAATTGTCCCCCATCCTCTCTATCAGAATATAAAGGCATTTATCTGTTGACCAATGCAAATGCTTCTCCACTTCTCTCAAATTTATCAAATTCTTGTAATTAGCTTTGATGTTTATCAAACGGAATTAGATTTAGTTCTTACCAAACGGAAATAGCTTTGATGTTTATCAAACGGAATTAGCTTTGGTTCTTACCAAACGGAATTAGCTTTGGTTCTTACCAAACAGAATTAGCTTTGATGCTTATCAAACGGAATTAGCTTTGGTTCTTACCAAACGGAATTAGCTTTGACGATTATCAAACGGAATTAGCTTTGGTCCTCACGAAATGGAATTAGCTTTGATGTTTATCAAACGGAATTAGCTTTGATGTTTATCAAACGGAGTTAACTTTGGTTTTAACCCAAATGGACTTAGTTTCAGAATGACTGGACGAAATTAAATTTGGTAAGCACTCAAACATGCTAAGTGGAATTGCTTGGTGGAATAATGTTTGGCAACTAAATTGGACTATAGCCAAGTGGAATTGCTTGGTGGAAACCACACTAACATATCTTAAGTAAACGTCTTTGAATCCACAAAATTCCTTAAGTACCAACACGTCAACACTTCAGTACTGATTTAAACAAACAGGGTTGGAACAAGCGTGACCAGGCTCTGTCAGGAGCAAACTCCCAGCATTAGTCTTACTCAACTCTAGGTGGGGGCAAACAATTGTTTTTTCAAACCAACCTGGACCTGAGTAAGACACCTCTTCATGCCTTTATCTCATTCAAACGCATCTGCGCTATCAAAGTTGCAACAAACTTAAGCAGTTCTATCTAAGAGCACAATCTTTAGTACCAATCTTACTTAGCTCTAGGTGGGGGCAAACAATTGTTTTCTTTTAAAACCAACCTAGACCTAAGTAAGATCCACTTACTAACTCAAGCACAGCCACACCACACATCTGTTAGCCACACCGAGCATCAGTTCAGCCCCAAGGTCCCAACAGTGCTCGGCCGGGGAAAAATAATACAAAGCCACACCGAGCATCAGTTCGGCCCTGAGGCCCCAACGATGCTCGGCCGGGGGCAAACAGTACAGAATCAGACAGAGCATCTATTTAAAAGCAGTACAGAACCAGACCGAGCATCTATTCGGCCCCGAGGTCCCAACAGTGCTCGGCCGGGGGCAGACAGTATAGAAAACATTCAGACATAAAAGCCAAACAGCATCAGACTGCAAGTTTAAAGAGAAAATTCTATCATCCAACAAAAGGCACAGATGGCCTCATTACCAGTAGCAAAGAAAAGAAAAGAGAAAAGAAAAATTGTTTTGGCAAGTGCAGAAAGAAAGCTCGTCCTGGAGATCGAGCCACGATACATCAAAATAGAAAAGCAAAAAAGTTCAAATCCTTTCAACATCAACTTTCAGTAACAGGGGGAAACTCAGGAGCAGCATCAACAATTTCGTCCACGCCGTCTAGGAGAGGAAAAGTAGAGGCAACTCCAACTTCCTGAGAAGTAGAAGCCTTCTTAACCACATCTCCCGTGGCTTCGGTCTCTAGGGTTTCAATCCCTTCAACATCCACCGTTTCGACGGCAGCATTACTGTCCTGGGTCTTGTTTGTAGAATTAGCTTCTGGGAAAACTTCGGCTGGAAGAACATCAGGGGTGGAAATAGTCTTTGAACCTAAGGATCTCGAAGGAACGGGAACATCCTGAAACAGGGAAGAGCCTTCAGGAACCAACGCAGTAGCCAAAGCACTCGTCCAACCCTTTAGAAAGAGCTTGTCTCGCAGTACTAGCACTTTCTCTTTATACGCCGCCCCAGCTTCATCCCAACCTTGTTGCCAATGCTTGGCCTCCAAAGCAGAGCACTCGGCGGCTATCATGGCAATAACGGCTTCCAGTTCGACCACCTTCCCCTTGAGTTGAGCCTGTGTCCCAATAGCAGCCTCCTTCGATTTTTCAGCTGAAACCACAATCTTGTTCAACCAAAATGCTTCCCTCTCCGCGGTTCGACGTCTTTCCTTCTCTGTCTCCAAGCTTACCGTTAGTCTCTCAGCGTTCATTGCAGCCTCCAGCACGGCCCTTTCTAGCTCTTCAGCACGGTGGATAGATGCATTCTCTAGATACACTGCAAAGGACAACGAAGAACTAAGAGAAAATGAGACAACAATGCAACAATAAAGACAAGTAAAACGAGGAAACACTTACATCAGTCATCATCTGAAGGGTCCCCTTCAGGATAGGAATATCACGGGGCCCATTATGGTCGGCCATGTCAACCGGCATCAACAAAAACTTAGTCAAATCAAAGGCAAAATCTTGTGAAGCAACAACTGAATCAGAAGTGGAAATGGGCCTGCCTTTATGCGACATTGGCGGCTTCCTTTTCTCAAAAGTCTCATCCTTAGCAGGATCCTCAGAAGCTTCCCCCACTACTGCTTTGCCAGCCTCTCTTCTTCTCTTTTTTGCTCGCGCAACGACCGAAGCTGAGGGCTCGGCAGCAGTCGCAGGGGTCCCAGAAGCTCCCACCTCCATCTTCACTTCCATTAGGCTCTTCGCCTCGGTCCTTTCCGAAGGGGTTTCCAAAACATTAGAGGCTCCGAAAGCCTCCGCCTCTAAATCCACCAATCCCTTAAATCAGAGGAATGTGGTTTGTTATCAATATGATTACAATGAGTATATGCATTCAATGACAACTACCAGGTGGTCCCCGACCTTGAGCAATGCTAAAAGGACACTTGGCAGCATTCAAACTCCATGAACCCACCTTGAGAAGCAAGCAAGAAACACTATATATACAACATGAACTTCACATTGAAGCTAACTGATCGATTCCAAGTAAAACTACAAGCTCAACTCAATATACATTCTCTCTCTGATCACTAATTCCCACACCAGAGGGGTTATCCGGCCAACCCCGGCCGGGCAGCTCTAACGGTGCTTCTTGTGGCAGGAACCTCAGTCCCTGGATTGTCCAACCGAGTGTGAAGTCCCGATCCACTTTCATCTAGTGCGGAATCCGGTACGCACAGAGAATAATATCTTTTCTCACAAATCATATATATTTTAGAGACGCACTTCTCTTCAATTAGTTGAGAAGGAAGATTTGAACATTAGTTTGGATCCAGTAAACACCACATGGCCCACTTCGATGATAATGCCAATTTTCTTTTTCGGCCATGTGAAGGTCATTAATGAAAAAATCAAACTAATCTACAATAGTAATCATAGGATTTTATTATATTAATTTTTTAAAAATTTAATAATATGTTTTCAAAATAATATTTTGAAAATTTTAAAAACTCCTGACATAGTAATTTGTGATTATGATTCAATTTTAAAATAACAAATAGCCATTCCAATTAAAAAAATTACAAATGGACTCCTCTAATTATGATAAAAAATCACAGGTCAAAGTCACAAAACAATCTACTAAGAAAATAAAAAATGAATAACACATGAGAACTCTCAATTATCTAGCGAATCCACACCCGAATTGAACTGAACTTGATGTGTCTCTTCCACCACCTTTTTCACCTTGGAATTGCTTTACTCAACGTTAAATCCAAACCATTGATGTCAAATTGACGATGATGAATCACTCTAAAATCCACCAAAGTTTCAGATCCAAATTCTCCGGAATTCACCGAAGAACACCTCTCTCTTTCTGTGAATGAAAGAATAAACTAACCCTTGATGACAGTCACTATAAAGCTCATTGATCAATCAATCACTTTCAAATCATCAAGAAAAATAATATATAAACACTATTTAATATAGAACACATTGTTTTCTCTTGCTTTCTAAAAATCTGGATAGGTTCAACCCTAAAAATAGCAAACATTGTACTTTATACTAAATAGAGCAGTGAAGATCGCTCACTTTACTGCTCAAGTGGTATGGCTAAAGGCGGTGCTCACATATAGGCTAACCACCCGAGCGCAACATCTACTACTCGAGCGGTAAAACATGCTTCCTAGCAGTTTAGAATGAAAGCAGAGATACTAGATGAATTACTTTACCGCTCCAGCGCACAGAAGACAGCTCGAGCATTATCCCCGTAGTAAACGAAGTGACAAATAAAGGATACTCAAGTCAAGTTACGGAATATAAGCGCAAACTCCTCTATACAGGCACAATTTGAGTTAGATTCATATCTAAACTCTCATAACTCATAAAAACAACAACAAATAAAAATACAACTGAATGGAGTTTTGTTCAATGGGATTGCCAATTACAAAAACATAACATACTTGTCGTTCATTTATATCTGCAATTATCAAATTAGTTTAAATTTTTATATGAATGATCTATGAATAGGAATTTAAATGATGAACAAAATAGACCATCAAAATGGATCATATGATGGGCCCAAGACTCAGTATATTTTACTATATGTTATGTCACTGTCAACATAGCAATTCTTATATCATGCGATTAATTCTTGAAAAATGTTTCTTCCAAAAAATTTACACAAAATCTTCTACAAAAAATGATGTTGATATTTCTGTAATTGAAAAGGATAATGATAAATTCATTGTTTTATTAGGTCTTCAAATTCTATCACATGATTTTGTAAAAATTTTATGTATGTATTTTTTTTCTTTCCATACAGTATATAACATTACTCTTAATTCTTTCATTGATCTTCCCATATATATGTAGGTGGATGACAAGTATCAGTATTCAATTGAGAACAAAGATAATGGGGTTCATGGGTGGATATGCTTTGATCCACCAGTTGGGTTTTGGCAAATCTGTCCCAGCAATGAGTTCAGAACTGGGGGTCCAACCAAGCAGGACCTAACCTCTCATGTCAATCCAACTACTCTTGCTGTATGTGACTGCATGCATGATTTATGCTACAATTCAACACATTAAGCCAATTCTAGACTCAAATCACTAGAGGCTCAAGAAGCATGCAAGAATCAACTCAAATACACAAATGAGAGGGTGAAACACCAACCTTAAATCTTTAAACTCAAGAATATAAGCTCAATTTTGCAATCCTCTCTTCAATTCTTTCAATTTCAAGCAAGCCACCAATTTGAATTCAATTCTCTCACTCTCTCTCTCTCGTTCGGTTGTGCCTCTCAAAATGGCTGAAGAAGATGTTTTGTCTAAGTGTGATAAGGCTCCAACCAAGGTTTTGATAGTGGCCCACTATAATGGCAAGGTTGCAAATAATGCAACTTGTGGGATTAAGCTCATTTTAATCTAATTAAATCATACCAAATCACATTTCAGATAAATACACCATAAATTCGCATAAATTCTATTGATCATAAAACACTAATCGATTTCGGGTTCGGCCGCCGATAAGGCCTTCAATTTGCAATTTAACCATAAAAATATGAATAGATAATCGGACAGTCAAACAGATAGATAGTGCATTTAAACGGATACAGTCAATCATTCAGTTTCAGATTTCAGTCAGTCAGTTCAGTATTTCAATCAGTTCAATTACTTTTCATAATCAGTCTCAGTTTAGCAGTAATCGGTAGTCTAACGGTAAACAGTGGTGAGGGTTGTTACACCTTTCCACTGCGGGTTGGGCCCAAGTGCTTAAGGACCTGGGTGGACTGTTGATCATGAAGTTGGGCTCAATTGGTTTGCCCAGATACTCCTCCAACCCGCTTGGATTCGGACTTCAGTGGATTGGGCCAGCCCAAGTCTTGGACCCGACCCATTTCACATTTAGCCCATTCATTTGCCCCTTAGCTCGCGCTAAGGTTCCCCTTGGGGGGAGCTATTGCTCTGCTTCCCAAACGTCGCATCGTTTCGATTTTCCCCAGTTCGGCCTTGGTGACGGTTCAATCCTGACACACAATCCCTGCATGCATCCTTTCATGGTGACACGTGGCGATGTGAGATAGGTGTGCAGAGGTAGTGCGTTAATTCCATATTGAAGGTCGTGCTCTGTGTACCTGCGCACCGGCTAGTGCAATTAATGCTCTGGCTGTCGATACAAATCCCTTCGTCTACTTTTTTGTTCCTCTAGAGAGTTTCAAAGAGAGAGAAAGAACACTTCTCGTTCCTTTGAACCAGTCTCGTTGGTGCCCTGCTTAGACTTTTTCGCTGCTGATCTTGTTCTGCAACCACTGTTCTAATCTCTGTAAGTCCTCTTGTAATTCTTCTTCTCTTGCCTCTTTTTATCTTATTCATCTTGTTTGGCCCACTCACTGTCTGTGTTCCATACTCTGTTATCTGAGTCTTATCTCTATCCCCTTAGGTTTGTTAAATGGGAAAGTTTCGTTCACTGGTTGATACCCCCGAGGCCATGGCTATGTTCCACCTGGACTATAATATTTCCAACGACGTTACGCTTTCGTTGGCGAAAGTAGACGCCAAGCGTATGGGCACGAGGAATACCGTTATTTTTCCTATCGCGCGCCATAGTCGAGGGAGGGGTTCGGTTTCCTCTTGACCCGTTGGTACGCCGGTTTCTGCATCAAGTCCAGCTAACTCCAATGCAAGTATCTGTGAACCTTTTTCGTGTTGTTTGCGGCGTATCTGCTCTCAATAGATGATTGGGTTTGAACCATGACATATGGGATATCTTAGGTTGTTATACTCTTTCTCATAACAAAGACCACAACATATATTACTTGCGTGTTCGCTCGTTTGATTGCCATTTGGTAACTGGGTTGCCTGATTCAGATAAGCACAACAATGATTTCTTACAAGTTGGTGGAAACTGGGAGTTCCCCGCAGGAACTGAGTTTCAGTTTGAGAGGATTCCCCAGAAAGACGGCTACCCAAGTTTGGGCCTCTCCTTCTAATGCATTTTGTATTTCTTACTTTATTTTTGATGTTGCTCTAATGGATCACTTCTTTTTTTGCAGAGGCCTCTCGTTTCTAACGAAGACCGAACTGAGAGAACGCTGAAGCCATAAAAGCGGCCCTGAGGTATAAAAAAAGATCTGCACCCGAGTTATTGGAATACCAGTCTACTTACCGTTCCACTATTCCAAATAAGGCGAGGCTCGCTGCTGCCCTTCTAGACTCTGATACGGAGACCGACACGTCTCTCACTCCTTTGGTCATGAACCGTCGCAGGAGTCAAGGTGCACTTTTTGAGAAAGTGCCCTCCCCTGCCCCAAGTTTTGCGGGGGGCGGGTCTGTGGCGAAGAGAAGAGTGTTGGTGGATTTAGAGACAGAGGCTTTCGGAGCCTCTGATGTTTTGGAAACCCCTTCGGAAAGGACCGAGGCGAAGAGCCTAATGGAAGTGAAGATGGAGGTGGGAGCTTCTGGGATCCCTGCGACTGCTGCCGAGCCCTCAGCTTCGGTTGCTGCACGGGCAAAAAAGAGAAGAAGAGAGGTTGGCAAAGCAGTGATGGGGGAAGCTTCTGAGGATCCTGCTGAGGATGATACTTTTGAGAAATGGGAGCCGCCAATGTCGCATACAGGCAGGCCCATTTCCACTTCTGATTCAGTTGTTGCTTCACAAGATTTTGCCTTTGATTTGACTAAGTTTTTGTTGATGCCGGTTGACATGGCCGACCATAATGGGCCTCGTGATATTCCTATCCTGAAGGGGACCCTTCAGATGATGATTGTTGTAAGTGTTTCCTCATTTTACTTGTCTTTATTGTTGTGTCGTTGTCTCATTTTCTCTTAGTTCTTCGTTGTCCTTTGCAGTGTATCCAGAGAATGCATCTGTCCATTACCCGTGCTGAAGAGCTAGAAAGGGCCGTGCTGGAGGCCGTGCTGAACGCTGAGAGACTGACGGTAAGCTTGGAGACAGAGAACGAAGGACGCCGAACTGCGGAGAGAGAAACATTTCGGTTGAACAAGATTGTTGCTTCAGCTAAAAAATCGAAGGAGGCTGCTATTGGGACACATGCACAACTCGAGGGGAAGGTGGCCGAACTGGAAGCCATTATTGCTATGATGGCCGCCGAGCGCTCTGCTTTGGAGGCCAAGCATTGGCAACAAGGCTGGGATGAAGCTGGGTTGGCATATAAGGAAGAAGTGCTAGTACCGCGAGACAAGCTCATTCTAAAGGGTTGAACGAGTGCTTTGGCTGCTGCGCTGGTTCCTGAAGGCTCTTCCCTATTTCAGGATATTCCCGTTCCTTCGAGATCCTTGGGTTCAAAGACTGTTTCCACCCCTACTGTTCTTCCAGTCGAAGTTTCCCCAGAAGCTGATTCTACAAACAAGACCCAGGACAGTAATACTGCCACTAAAACGGTGGATGTTAAAGGGATTGAAACCCTGGAGACCGAAGCCGCGGGAGCTGTGGTTAAGGAGGCTTTTACTTCTCAGGAAGTTGGAGCTGCCTCTACTTTTCCTCCCCCAGACGGCCTGGACGAAATTGTTGATGCTGCTCCTGAGTTTCCCTCTATTACTGAAAGTTGATGTTGAAAGGATTTTAACTTTTTTGCTTTTCTACTTTGATGTATCGTGGCTCGGTCTCCAGGACGAGCTTTATTTCTGCACTTGCCAAGACAATTTTTCTTTTCTCTTTTCTTTTCCTTGCTACTGGTTATGAGGTCATCTGTGCCTCTTGTTGGATGATAGAATTTTCTCTTTGAACTTGCAGTCTGATGTTGTTTGGCTTTTATGTCTTAATGTTTTCTATACTGTCTGCCCCCGACCGAGCACTGTTGGGACCTCGGGGCCAAATAGATGCTCGGTCTGGTTCTGTACTGCTTATAAATAGATGCTCTGTCTGATTTTGTACTGCTTGCCCCCGACCAAGCATTGTTGGGGCCTCGGGGATGAACTGATGCTTGGTGTGGCTTTGTGCTGTTTGCCCCCGGCCGAGCACTATTGGGACCTCGGGGCTGAACTGATGCTCGGTGTGGCTTTGTACTGTTTGCCCCCGGTCGAGCACTGTTGGGACCTCAGGGCCGAACTGATGCTCGGTGTGGCTAACGGATGTGTGGTATGGTCGTGCTTGAGTTTGTAAGTGGATCTTACTTAGGTCCAGGTTGGTTTTAAAAGAAAATAATTGTTTGCCCCCACCTGGAGCTAAGTAAGATTGGTACTGAAGGTTGTGCTCGTAGATAGAACTGTTTAAGTTTGTTGCCACTTTGATAGCGCAGATGCGTTTGAATGAGATAACGGCATGAAAAGGTGTCTTACTCAGGTCCAGGTTGGTTTAAAAAAATAATTGTTTGCCCCCACTTGGAGTTGAGTAAGACTAATGCTGGGAGTTTGCTCCTGATAGAGCCTGGTCACGTTTGTTCCAACTCTGTTTGTTTAAATTAGTACTCAAGTGTTGACGTGTTGGTACTTAAGGAATTCTGTGGATTCAAAGATGTTTACTTAAGATATGTTAGTGTGGTTTCCACCAAGCAATTCCACTTAGCTATAGTCCAATATAGTTGCCAAACATTAATCCGCCAAGCAATTCCACTTAGCATGTTTGAGTGCTAACCAAATTTAAATTCCGTCCAGTCGTTCTGAAACTAAGTCCATTTGGGTTAAGACTAAAGTTAATTCCGTTTGATAAACATCAAAGCTAATTCCATTTGGTGAGGACCAAAGCTAATTCCATTTGATAATCATCAAAGCTCATTCCGTTTGGTAAGAACCAAAGCTAATTCCGTTTGGTAAGCATTAAAGCTAATTCCGTTTGGTAAGAACGAAAGCTAATTCCGTTTGCTAAGAACCAAAGCTAATTCCGTTTGATAAACATCAAAGCTATTTCCGTTTGGTAAGAACCAAAGCTAATTCCGTTTGATAAACATCAAAGCTAATTACAAGAATTTGATAAATTTGAGAGAAGTGGGAAAACATTTGCATTAGTCAACAGATAAATGCCTTTACGTTCTGATAGAGAGGGTGGGGGACAATTCTATTGATAGTATTTCTTGAGATTTGCTACGTTCCAGGGCCGAGGTATAGCTTTGCCATTAAGATCCTCTAGGTAGTAGGCTCCATTTCTAACGACAACTGTGACTTTATAGGGACCTTCCCAGTTAGGCCCAAGTTTGCCCTCGCTAGGTACCTTTTTGTAATCCATAACTTTCCTCAAGACCAGTTCTCCTGGTGTAAATTGCAAACTTTTTGGTTGAAACTCTTGATGAGCTATTGCTGATCGCTACAAGTCTGATCAGTGTTGCTTCTCTTCGGCCCTCTGCCATATCTAGTACTTGTGCAATAGCTTCCTCGTTACTGGTGCTCTCAAACAATTCAGACCGAAGGGTTGGGAGGCCGACTTCGAGTGGGATGACGGCCTCCATTCCGTAAGTTAGTGAGTAAGGCGTTTCCCCCGTTGATCACCGTGCTGTGATTCGGTATGCCCATAGCACGTGGGGTAACTCTTCGACCCATTTTACTTTAGTTTACGCGAAACTAATAAAAATGAGCTCATTTCGTGGGTTAAAACAGCCTCTAAAATCTGCCTTGCTAAAATGAATCAAACCGACAATAATCAAGATCATCCGATTATAAGTTCTAATCGATCTTTTTAATAAAAAGCTAAAACATAAAAGTTGTCTAGAATCACGTATATATACTTCTGCTCAAATTTCATAATTTATCAAGATTGTTTACTATTTTTTTTATCATGTACATATCAGTACCATACACACTATACTAATAAATTCATAATTAAATTCTTTGTTCCTTAACTCCACCACTTCGGCCCTCCCCTTCCGGCCTACACATATATCCCATGTGCCTCCCGTATACCTAACACCGCTCCGAAGCCAAACTTGCACCGGGATATCGTCCCGAGTTTGACTCACACTCCCCGGATGGTTAGCATATACGTACGCGCGCAAATCAAAGCACTCGTCTACTCATGAGAACGAGGCAACAATATAAATAACATCTCATCAACATCATGAGACAAATATAACAATGCCGGGCATAAGGCATTAAACAACTCTCATAATCTCCACTTTTTTTAATACACTCTTTCTCACCATCACTCAAATAAAACAACAATCCATGGAGTCATGGTGGAGTATAAAGAAATTTATCTATGGGTTCCTAATTAATTTTAATTCATATAACCATATTAATTTTTGTTTCATATAACCATGAGGGTGATACCATCATAAAATAAATCCATATAAAATCCTAAATCTAACATACACAATTAATCAAAATAATTAAAAATCAATCAATCAACAAAAAACCCTAAACTTCACCTACATAACTAATCAAAGTAATTAAAATAATCAATCATCTATAAACCCTAAATCTTACATCCACAACTAATCAAAATAATTAAAAATTAATCTATCATCTTTATGTAAAAACAAAATCAAACTAACATCAAACAAATAAAAATAAATAAATAAAATAAAAAAAGAATTAAACATAGATCAGGGAAGTGGGTTTTGTACTCACAATATTATTTTTAAGACCAAAAAATATTTTGAAGATTATGTAAGTCACCAAATTAAAACCCTAATCTTTTCTTCTTTTTCCCCTTTCTTCTTGGCGTCCCTCACTGTTCTCTCTCTCTCTCTCTCTCTCCTCCTCACACGCTGCCTTCACCTTGCAAATTCACTTTTCTTTTCTTTGATTTCCCTAATCCATAATCTAACCTAATTCACTTTATATAATATTATACTAAAACCTACTCCTATTAAGAACTTAATCAATTATTATAATATATTTGTAAATCAAACATAATTATAATATATATAAATATAAATATAAGATAATATATATATATATATATATACCTATATATATAACACCTCCTTTTTTTTTATAACAAATATAAATATATAAATATTTGGATTAATTATATATAATTAAATAACAAATTAAATTAATTAATCACCACATTAAATTCATTAAATATCACATTAAATATTCATGTGACCACACAATTAATAAAGCCAAAAATAAAATAAGATAATAATAATCATAATAATAAATAAATAACTTAAG